CCCCACCCCAAAAAAAGCAGCCAGGGGGAGCTCGAATAGGTGACAAAAGCGAGGGGAAAAGTTTTTAAAACACTAATAGATTAAATAATAAAACATTAACTAATTATAGACTTAATCCCTGTTATCCATAATCTCTTTTAAAAGTTCTACTTTACAGCTGAAATACCGTTGTACCTATTCACTCACATATTTCTTCGTACGTGTTTTACGGCGCTCGCAACTGCATAAGGTCATATGAGCACGCTCACAATTTCTTCGTCTGAATGACTGTCTGAAACAGTAAGATCACTAACATGGCACCCGACAAAGTGACACGGGGGTAAAAACACAAGAAACATAATTAAAAAGCAACAACAAAACAAAACAAAAAACTACCTGTACATATTCTGTTGGGTCCAACCTGTTGTACCACTGTCACGGTTAGAGACCTCACTGTTCCGCGCGGAAGACATGAGTTCGCTTCCCGAGCGGGGATGTTTTTTTGGATCAAGTACATGTATCTGCAACTGTTTGCTAGCATATTGTATCCCGTTCATCCCGGGTTAGATCTAACACGCAGGACCGAAGAGATCGCCTCCTAAATGATCGAAATTTGTGGGATCCAAATGATCGATTTTAAGGACAAGCGGGCTAACCCAGATTTCGTGGGTTTCTAGAAATCTTGACCTGCACCAAAAGTGGGCATTGCCCTACCTATAGACGAAGTTTGGTTTCATTGGTGTGTATATTTGTTTGCATATGGAGAAAACTTTCTTTATATTATAAAAAAACTGAACAAGGGGCAACAAGTTAACGTCGATTTTCTCAAAACAGCATTTTCCAAGAAAGCCGCCTTGTGCTTAAAAGCGACCAAATAATCTAAGATCAAGAATATACCACCTCAAAAATGACGTGTTGTCTTTATCAAGGTGGCAACTGAGCTAGCGGTGCGTCCATTGTCTCACGTCTCACGTCTTCCTTCATAACAAATGATAATCCTCCCCCCCCCCCTTCTCACCTCTCGCTCATTTAACTTCTTTTCTCCCTCCGTGACTTAAAGGGGCAGAAAGTGGAGGCGAAAGCAGACGACAGAAAAATGTTAGAGAGCAGGAAAGGATGTGAAAGGAAAAAAAATAGAAAAAAAAAATTCCCTCGGATTCCAGATTAGAACCCGGGGTCAGGCGAACACCTTAACCTCTAGGCCACGAGAGC